TTTGCGAGAGAACGCAAAAAAAATTTCCTCCCACCCCGAATTTTTTCCCCACCACCATGTCCCTTTAGGGGCTCCGTACCAAGGCAATATTTCTCAATTTCATTTTAATTTAATTTGATGTACTAAAATAACTAAAACTGAAATAAAAAATGTACACACTATAGGCATATTAAAAAATAATAATAATAAAAATGTCAAAAACACAACAAAATGACTAAACACCCCAGGGTTATTATAGTTAACTAAACCCATAAAAAGCATCACTTAAAATAAAATGCATTTATTTATTTCAGCTAGCTGACAAGGCAACCTTTCTCATTTTCATTTTCATTTAACTTGATGTACTAAAATCACAAAAAAAAAAAAAAAAATGATATATATAAAATAGCAAAAATTACTAAAAACCTAGGTTATACTAAAACCATAAAGAGTATTACTTGAATCAAAAATAAAAATATTTAAAAAACTGAACTTATTTCAGCTATTTTAGACAAGAGACAACATTCATTTTAATTTAACTTGATATACTAAAATTACTAAACCTGCTCTACACACTTCACACTAACCCTTCATTTCTGTTATTTTATTCATGCATTTAGTCATTCGTTGTTGTTTTTTTGTACTGATATTTTTTCAATGTCAATGTTTATTAAAACTGCAATTTACAACAATCAATCAATGCATAAGTCCCAGCTTTCAAGAATATAGAGATGGGAATAGAATAAGTGTCTAATAATGTCACAAATAGGAAAAAAATGTGAAAATGTGTAAATAATTATTACTATAAATGGCCGGGCCAGAATGGAATCATTCAGAATTAAAAAATAAATAAATACGAATAAATAAGCATATAAAATCACTCCATATGTTTTATGCAAAAGTCACTGGTGTCGAATGTCTCTTTAAAACACTCAGAGGGGTTTCATCTATTACTCTGTCAATAATCTATGACATCAGCTCATCCCTTGTGATCAAACACTCGTTATCAGTTACACTCCACAGAACAATTAACCAGCCACAATCACTGCCGACGAGTAAAACCACATTAGGACAAACAGTGATTACTAATCATTTATCCTGCATGTTTTACTTCAGGTGAAGTCCAGACATAAAGCTGTCTGACAAAAACAGCATTACTGTCTTAAATCATGATGGATGCATGTTATTAAACATATCAAAACATTTAATAGAGCAACCAGAGGAGGAGTTCATTATTGTGACATTCATATATTTTGCCAATTTTCTCTACTCAGAGCCAAAATTTCACTTAAATAAAATAAAGTAAATAAAACACTGCAGTTTTGCACATAAGACCGTACAGGGTTATTCCTCACAAGATCTATACTTCATGGTTTTGAGTCAAAAGTCCAATTATACAAATTATATACACCCTTATACAAATATACAGTATATACACATTTTTCGGTAGCAGTGGTTTTGTACAGTATGTTCACTTCCACAAATTAAGAAATTTTATGAATCTTATCCTCGAAAATAGCTATTTTATCAAATTAATTACAATTTCTGAACCAAAAACAATGACTTTTAAACTTTGTTTCATGAATTTTCTGTTTAGTAATCAGTTTACTGTTTATATTTTACAGAAAAGCCCTCAAAAAAAAAAAAATCATAGATTTTAAATACAGCTAGCTATATGTTGTTAAAAATGTCTTTGTTTTGTGCAGAAATTAATAAATAAATAAATAAATAAATGAATAAAAATACACACTAGAATTTACAATATATTTTCAACAACACATCTGTATTTCAAATCTATCATTGTCTATTTAAGGACTTTCTGTAAAAATACACAATAGAATTTAAAGTGTGACAACTAGCCCCTGTTTATCCTACACCGCACAAATAAATAAATAAATGGTATTTCGAAGTTTACTGGAGTAAGTTTCAGAAAGAAAATACTATTTTAGTTTTTCTACTTCGAAATTTCACGTTGAATTCAGTGTATAATTGCTGTTTTTTACGAAATTTACTAGCAATTTTTGAGTGACAAAGTTTTCCTTACACACTTTTCTTGTACTTGAGCAGCTTTTTAACACTTACTTTGTAAACTGGTAAGTATAATAACGCAGTACTATAATATTTAGAAAAAATATTTGAACCCAGAATTTAAAGACTAATCAAATATATGTGATCTATACGTGTGGAAAACTACGAAAATTATGAATACGGAAAAATATCAAATATACAATGATGATGATGATGATGGGCAAAGCGCCCTTCAACATACAAACTTTTCTATTCTTCATAAAATGTCACTTTATATGAACGTCTGTCTTCGTATAACCTTTTTTAACTACGTTCTACTTAAATTCAAACAGTATTTGACAGATCAAGAGCTGCATGATCATCCGCACCTGCCGCGTAACGGAGAAACTGCGCATCTCCACATTGAGCACTGACGCAAAACCCTCCGAAACCTTCAACAGGATCAAAGGCTGAACACAAGTGTTGATGGAGACGCTTACCTGCCGCCAGACACACTGGCAACAGCACTCTGAAGATCAGACCACACACCACCTCAGAAGCCATGGCTCTCAGATGAGAAGGACAAACTGCAGCATCCAGCAGCCAGATGTCCTGGACCCGGGACGGGACGGCATCCTTCGAGCGCCTTTACACCGGATCCTCCATGCGTCCTGCACGAAAACTTCCAGTTAAGGACTCCCTCTTCGTCTAAAAAAAGTGCTCTGTGTGCGTCTCGAGTGGGTGAAAGTGTTTGATCTAACTCATGATGATATGGAGATGTGGTGTTCGCTTGCGCAAAGTCCTCGTTTTCTCCTTGCGCCAGAGCGCGCGCGGGATGCGTCCGAAGAACCGCGTGAATCCTGGAAAAATCTCTTCGTATCCTGTGGCACCAGAGCGAATCAAACTGATTCAAGTTCTTTAAGGCTAAATAAACTGTCCCTTGATCACCTAAAGTCACTCATGTCGAAGGCGTCCTCACTTCCATCTCCACACACAGCTGCTCTGAAAGCCACAGGCATTCCGGTCAATGACAAACGCCCGTTCGTGAGTGATGGAGCGCGGGTCCAATCAGCGGCCGAGGGGGGCGGGGCCTGCGAACCCTGAGGGACGCTCCATTTGACTGCTGTTTTACTAGGAACTCATCATCATTACAAAGTGCTTCTAGAAAAGATTTGATCACAGTCATGCACTTTTATTTTTTTTTAGCTGACTAAGTCAGCTCTTCCGTACGCTACAGTTCAAAAGTTTGGGGTCAGTACATTTTTATTCTTTCTTTTTTTGAAATAAATTAAAACGTGTAGCCTATTCAGCAAGGATGTGTTAAATTGTTAAGAAGTGATTTTTAGAAACGATTTATATTTTGAATAAATGCTGTTCTTTTTCACTTTTTATTCATCAAAGAATCCTAAAACAAAGTATAGCAGTTTCCCCCAAAAAATATTTGGCAGCACAACTGTTTCCAGCACTGATAATTCTAATAATAAATCAGCATATTAGAATGATTTCTGAAGATCATGTGACACTTTATACTGGAGTAATGGCTGATGGAAATTCAGCTTTGCATCACAGAAATAAATTATATTTTAAAGGATATTAAAATAGAAACCATTATTTTATATTGTAATAACATTTTGTAAGATTATTGTTTTTTTCTGTATTTTTGATCAAATAAATGCAGCCTTGATGAGTAGAAGACACTTCTTTAAAAAACATTACAAGTCTTACTGATCCCAAACTTTTGACCGGTAGTTGAATGTCAAATACATACATACATTTGTGCTACTTACCTTAAAAACATAGTAAAATCAAAAAGTTCTAAAGAATTTGCCATTTAAATCTGTGAAAAAGCAGAAAACTGAAGGATTTTGAAGAAATAAAAACAAATTATGACAAAATGAAGAAGAAACATTTCAGGATGCGATCTATTTCTAAATGTCAATGAGTCTCACTGATTATGTGAAATTATCACATGAAATTAATCCTTAATGATATCCAGGCATTATGAAGACATTAAAACACCCAAACATGTTACGCAGAAAACAATCAGTGAAAAAAATAAAACATAAGAGGGGACTAAATAACAACTGTCTCCTTTTTGTTAAAATGTTACAAGTGTTTAAACCATCATAAATTAATTATATCAATCATAATCACATCAGACAGGGAGTTAGTTGCTTTAAAATAGTGAAAGTGAAAGTGACGTGACATGTGGCCAAGTACGGTGACCCATACTCGGAATTAGTGCTCTGCTTTTAGCCCATCCTAAGTGCACACACACAGCAGTGAACACACACACACCGTGAACACACACCCGGAGCAGTGGGCAGCCATTTGCGCCCGGGGAGCAGTTGGGGGTTCGGTGCCCTGCTCAAGGGTCGTGGTATTGAAGGTGGGAGAGAGCGCTGTACATTCACTCCCCCCCCCTACAATCCCTGCCGGTACGAGACTCGAACCCGCAACCTTTGGGTTACGAGTACGACTCTCTAACCATTAGGCCACGACTTCCTCAAATAGCCATCCTTTCTGTTGGTTGCTTCCTCCTTAAAACTACAGTAGCTTTGTTTTTTAACACTGTACTAACCATCCTTGTTGTTTTATAACCAAAGATCTAGTAAAGAAGCTTTCGTTTGCATCTAGTTTGCTTCCCTGATGTCTAATTCCACCAGAGATATTGAACAACTATTGCAGCTGTGCCAAACAGCCCTGCTGTTCCCTTCAGGTTAGCAGTGGATATGTGATCTAATGCTGCAGGTGAGGCAGCATCAATAATGCATCTGACATGGTGTTTGTTCATTAATGGTGTTGATGATAGGAGATCTGAGAGCAGCTCTCATGCTCTTTAAAAACCGCACATCAACTCTCGGCCTCAGGATGGCATCAAAATTTGAACACAAAAGCACTTACACTGGATTAAACTTCCAGGATGTTTAATTCCTTGGCTGTCATAAGTAGCTAATAATAGAATAATGTCTATAATCCATATACTTAGTTGTCTGCATACACATTTATTAGCCCTCACATATACACACAGATGCAGACAATTAGAGATGGAACATTAAGCATAAATATTTCAAACAGAAGTACCTTCAGTTTGAATCACACAAGACGATGAAGCAACCATCAATGAGCTGCTTTTACAACTGCTAACATGTTTTCTGTGGAAAATCCTCACTGGCAGTGTTTAGGAAATTGATCCTGTCTGGCTACAGTCACTTTTTAAATCACTTTTTATACTAAATCCAATTTAGGAAAAAGTCACTAGCAAACATTACATAAGTCATAAAAATATCAAACGTTCTTTAATAGGCTAACACTTTAGTTTAGGGACCAATTCCCACTGTTAACTAGTTGCTTATTAGCAAGCATATTACTAAGACTTATAAAGCACATATTAATGCCTTATTCTGCATGACCTCATTCTAGATCCCTTAATCCAACCTCATACTTACTTAACAACTACCTTACTAACTATTACTAAGCCGCAAATTAGGAGTAAATTGAGGCAAAAGTTGTAGTTAATAGTTAGTTAATAGTAATTATTGGACCTTAAAATAAAGTGTGACTTTTAATGGTTTTGATCAATAACAACTTTTAGCTGTTCTTGTGTTGCAATAATGAGATTTCTTTTCATGTTTCATTACAGGTTCTTCAGATCAGTGTTTTCCATCCTTGTTGTTTTATAACCAAAGATCTAGTAAAGAAGCTTTCGTTTGCATCTAGTTTGCTTCCCTGATGTCTAATTCCACCAGAGATATTGAACAACTATTGCAGCTGTGCCAAACAGCCCTGCTGTTCCCTTCAGGTTAGCAGTGGATATGTGATCTAATGCTGCAGGTGAGGCAGCATCAATAATGCATCTGACATGGTGTTTGTTCATTAATGGTGTTGATGATAGGAGATCTGAGAGCAGCTCTCATGCTCTTTAAAAACCGCACATCAACTCTCGGCCTCAGGATGGCATCAAAATTTGAACACAAAAGCACTTACACTGGATTAAACTTCCAGGATGTTTAATTCCTTGGCTGTCATAAGTAGCTAATAATAGAATAATGTCTATAATCCATATACTTAGTTGTCTGCATACACATTTATTAGCCCTCACATATACACACAGATGCAGACAATTAGAGATGGAACATTAAGCATAAATATTTCAAACAGAAGTACCTTCAGTTTGAATCACACAAGACGATGAAGCAACCATCAATGAGCTGCTTTTACAACTGCTAACATGTTTTCTGTGGAAAATCCTCACTGGCAGTGTTTAGGAAATTGATCCTGTCTGGCTCTAGTCACTTTTTAAATCACTTTTTATACTAAATCCAATTTAGGAAAAAGTCACTAGCAAACATTACATAAGTCATAAAAATATCAAACGTTCTTTAATAGGCTAACACTTTAGTTTAGGGACCAATTCCCACTGTTAACTAGTTGCTTATTAGCAAGCATATTACTAAGACTTATAAAGCACATATTAATGCCTTATTCTGCATGACCTCATTCTAGATCCCTTAATCCAACCTCATACTTACTTAACAACTACCTTACTAACTATTTAAAAGTATTAATTTCTTTTTTTTTTTAAACACTTAGTGTAGTGTACATGAATCAAAGCATCATTAATCTTCCAAAAATGTTAATCTATATTATGTAATAATATACTAAACACTAAATAGACATTTTGATCTCCAGAGAATTTCACAACATTCATGTCTCTCCTTCTTCAAAGTCTTAAGTAAAGCAAAAGAACAACAATCACGCCTAAGTGGCTCGCAGCTAATCAATACTGAGCGAAAGGAAGCGACTGATCAATATCCATAGTTTTTACGATTCTTCTTTGAGGGTGTAGACTCCATGATTACAGGAAACATTCACCTTCTATCCATAATTCATCAGAGAGAGTGAGTTAAACCAAAAGAACCGTCTTTTCTGATGCTCGTCCAGCCCAGATCATGAGTGGAGATCATCTCCAATATCCACCGACATTTCAATTATGCATAAACATAAACGTGATGGATTATGTGGATCTCGTTTAATGCCCAGCAATCGTTTGTTTGATTGTCCATCAGAAAACCAAACTGCATCCTGAGTGATGTTTTGATCGTAAAGCGACGCCAGGGGATGTTGCGCTCTTTTGCTTAGCATCGACCGTAAACTAATTTTCTAGAGTCACAGGAATATGTAATAAAACTGCAGTATTTGTGACTGGCACAGATCCACATGCACGGCATCTGACTTAAAACATCCATTAAGAGCCATTTATAGAAGCTTAACAAGTTTGCCTGAATCACAGCTGATGTAGATGAATCTGAAATGAATTTACAGTTAGGCTTCTAGATATCAGTGTAAAACAAGTAATGATTGTAGTGTTTGCTAAGGCAATGTCTCATAGACACTTAGGAAGAGTTCTTTTGATTTGGGCCTTTAAACACCCTAGCAACCACCTTGAAAAAAAACATAGTGACCACAAAGTAACATCAGAACAGTGTTATTATAGTTAACTAAAACTAAAAACATACATGTTGTTACATGAAAAAATAAACATTAACTAAAATAAAATAGGCAAGTAAACATTCTAGCAACACCTGAACTAAATTTCACTGGTTGTAGAGATACTAAGATGAGTA